TCACGTCCGTCCCCCTTCACGTTCGTCCCCATTCACGTTCGCCCCCATTCACGTTCGCCCCCATTCACGTTCGCCCCCATTCACGTTCGCCCCCATTCACGTTCGCCCCCATTCACGTTCGCCCCCATTCACGTTCGCCCCCATTCACGTTCGCCCCCATTCACGTTCGCCCCCATTCACGTTCGCCCCCATTCACGTTCGCCCCCATTCACGTTCGCCCCCATTCACGTTCGCCCCCATTCACGTTCGCCCCCATTCACGTTCGCCCCCATTCACGTTCGCCCCCATTCACGTTCGCCCCCATTCACGTTCGCCCCCATTCACGTTCGCCCCCATTCACGTTTGGCACCATTCACGTTCGCCCCCATTCACGTTCGCCCCCATTCACGTTCGCCCCCATTCACGTTCGCCCCCATTCACGTTCGCCCCCATTCACGTTCGCCCCCATTCACGTTCGCCCCCATTCACGTTCGCCCCCATTCACGTTCGCCCCTATTCCCGTCACGTTCGCCCCCATTCACGTTCGCCCCCATTCACGTTCGCCCCCATTCACGTTCGCCCCCATTCACGTTCGCCCCCATTCACGTTCGCCCCCATTCACGTTCGCCCCCATTCACGTTCGCCCCCATTCACGTTCGCCCCCATTCACGTTCGCCCCCATTCACGTTCGCCCCCATTCACGTTCGCCCCCATTCACGTTCGCCCCCATTCACGTTCGCCCCCATTCACGTTCGCCCCCATTCACGTTCGCCCCCATTCACGTTCGCCCCCATTCACGTTCGCCCCCATTCACGTTCGCCCCCATTCACGTTCGTCCCATTCACGTTTGCCCCCATTCACGTCCGCCCCCATTCACGTCCGCCCCCATTCACGTTCGCCCCCATTCACGTTCGCCCCCATTCACGTTCGCCCCCATTCACGTTCGCCCCCATTCACGTTCGTCACCATTCACGTTCGCCCCCATTCACGTTCGCCCCCATTCACGTTCGCCCCCATTCACGTTCGCCCCCATTCACGTTCGCCCCCATTCACGTTCGCCCCCATTCACGTTCGCCCCCATTCACGTTCGCCCCCATTCACGTTCGCCCCCATTCACGTTCGCCCCCATTCACGTTCGCCCCCATTCACGTTCGCCCCCATTCACGTTCGCCCCCATTCACGTTCGCCCCCATTCACGTTCGCCCCCATTCACGTTCGCCCCCATTCACGTTCGCCCCCATTCACGTTCGCCCCCATTCACGTTCGCCCCCATTCACGTTCGCCCCCATTCACGTTCGCCCCCATTCACGTTCGCCCCCATTCACGTTCGCCCCCATTCACGTTCGCCCCCATTCACGTTCGCCCCCATTCACGTTCGCCCCCATTCACGTTCGCCCCCATTCACGTTCGCCCCCATTCACGTTCGCCCCCATTCACGTTCGCCCCCATTCACGTTCGCCCCCATTCACGTTCGCCCCCATTCACGTTCGCCCCCATTCACGTTCGCCCCCATTCACGTTCGCCCCCATTCACGTTCGCCCCCATTCACGTTCGCCCCCATTCACGTTCGCCCCCATTCACGTTCGCCCCCATTCACGTTCGCCCCCATTCACGTTCGACCCCATCCACGTTCGCCCCCATTCACGTTCGCCCCCATTCACGTTCGCCCCCATTCACGTTCGCCCCCATTCACGTTCGCCCCCATTCACGTTCGCCCCCATTCACGTTCGCCCCCATTCACGTTCGCCCCCATTCACGTTCGCCCCCATTCACGTTCGCCCCCATTCACGTTCGCCCCCATTCACGTTCGCCCCCATTCACGTTCGCCCCCATTCACGTTCGCCCCCATTCACGTTCGCCCCCATTCACGTTCGCCCCCATTCACGTTCGCCCCCATTCACGTTCGCCCCCATTCACGTTCGCCCCCATTCACGTTCGCCCCCATTCACGTTCGCCCCCATTCACGTTCGCCCCCATTCACGTTCGCCCCCATTCACGTTCGCCCCCATTCACGTTCGCCCCCATTCACGTTCGTCCCCTTTCACGTTCGCCCCCTTTCACGTTCGCCCCCTTTCACGTTCGCCCCCTTTCACGTCCGCCCCCTTTCACGTCCGCCCCCTTTCACGTCCGCCCCCATTCACGTCCGCCCCCATTCACGTCCGCCCCCATTCACGTCCGCCCCCATTCACGTTCGCCCCCATTCACGTTCGCCCCCATTCACGTTCGCCCCCATTCACGTTCGCCCCCATTCACGTTCGCCCCCATTCACGTTCGCCCCCATTCACGTTCGCCCCCATTCACGTTCGCCCCCATTCACGTTCGCCCCCATTCACGTTCGCCCCCATTCACGTTCGCCCCCATTCACGTTCGCCCCCATTCACGTTCGCCCCCATTCACGTTCGCCCCCATTCACGTTCGCCCCCATTCACGTTCGCCCCCATTCACGTTCGCCCCCATTCACGTTCGCCCCCATTCACGTTCGCCCCCATTCACGTTCGCCCCCATTCACGTTCGCCCCCATTCACGTTCGCCCCCATTCACGTTCGCCCCAATTCACTTTCGCCCCCATTCACGTTCGCCCCCATTCACGTTCGCCCCCATTCACGTTCGCCCCCATTCACGTTCGCCCCCATTCACGTTCGCCCCCATTCACGTTCGCCCCCATTCACGTTCGCCCCCATTCACGTTCGCCCCCATTCACGTTCGCCCCCATTCACGTTCGCCCCCATTCACGTTCGCCCCCATTCACGTTCGCCCCCATTCACGTTCGCCCCCATTCACGTTCGCCCCCATTCACGTTACTTGTGCTGCTGCGCGGACTGTTACTGCCACTGGCGGACTAAGGGGCTCGCTGCTGTGTGCAAGGTAAGACAGCAAGCCTCGCTCTGCCTCTTGCCTTTCCCTTGCTTTCTCACATTCAGCTTCACTTGCTTTCTCATTCTGCTTCAGTTGTTCTGGCTTCTTGCCCTCCTTTGCTGCTCCAATGCTTCTACTTCTGAACTAACTTTGTTTCTCTCCCCTCCCCCCTGACAGGTACCCTCTGGGGGTGATAGTTTTGGTGCTGGCTGGTGTTGGTGTTGGTGGTGGTGGTGGTGGCGGTGGTGGTGGCGGAGGTGGGGCGGCAGTGGGGTGGTGAGTCAGTTTCAAGCCTGGATTCCAATAGCCGCACGTTAAGGCATAATGGACGAACACCAGACCTTGCGGCCGTGGCTCCCCTCTTGCTACGTCGGTGAGGGTTCAGGTGTTGGGCTGGCTCATAGCCTCACTGCTGCTGCTGTGGTGCTGCTGGCGAGTGGTTGTGGGGAGTGGTGGGGAGAGCAAGGCGGGGGAAGGAGTTTGGCCTTTCAGGGCAAGGCTTGTGAGGGCAAGCGGGGGGAGAGGGGTTTGAATCCCCAAGGCAAGCAAGGGGCAGAGGAAACCCCCTCCTCTGTCCTTAGCTTGCCTTGGTCTGGTGGTTTCAGTCCTCTTCTCTTGCCTCTCACTAGCCATGCTCTGGGAGGCTCAACCTCTTTCTCTTTTCCTTGCTCTCGCCTTACCCAGGGGGTTCAGCCCCCCTCCACTAGCACTCTGCCTCGCCTCACTGCCCTCCTCTCTGTGAGGAGTGGTGGTGGTGGCATGCCATGCCATGCCATGCATTGGCACTGCTTGTTAAGTTGTAATGTGTTATTTATATGTAGGTAGGCTGTAGTGGGGTAGCCAATACAGGGTACAAACCCAACTAGGGTTAGCTACTTGTTTCAACTGTTTCTTTCAATCCAACCATTCTTGCCTAGTTCTGTTAACATGGTATTCAGAGCAGGAGGTCCCTAGGACCTACCGACCGTTTTTTTTTAAGGGCCCACCACCGCTCGCATGCGGTTACCACGCTACCCCGTGCCCTAGCCTCGTAGCGCCCTCGTGCGCCCTCGTTAGCGCCCTCGTGCGCCCTCGTTAGCGCCCTCGCGCGCCCTCGTTAGCGCCCTCGCGCGCCCTCGTTAGCGCCCTCGCGCGCCTCTCGTTAGCGCCCTCGCGCGCCCTCGCTAGCACCCTTGCGCCCCCCTTGTTAGCGCCCTCGTGCGCCTCTCGTTAGCGCCCTCGCGCGCCCCTCGCAGCGTCGCCCGCCCGCCGAGCCGCCCGCTCGCAGCGTCGCCCGCCTACCGCGCTGCCCGTTTCGCAGCCCGCCCGCCGCGCTGCCCGCTCGCAGCGTCGCCCGCCCGCCCGCTGCCCGCTTGCAGCGTCGCCCGCCCGCCCGCTGCCCGCTTCGCAGCGTCGCCCGCCCGCCGCGCTGCCCGCTCGCAGCGTCGCCCGCCCGCCTCGCTGCCCGCTTGCAGCGTCGCCCGCCCGCCCGCTGCCCGCTTCGCAGCCCGCCCGCCGCGCTGCCCGCTCGCAGCGTCGCCCGCCCGCCTCGCTGCCCGCTTGCAGCGTCGCCCGCCCGCCCGCTGCCCGCTTGCAGCGTCGCCCGCCCGCCCGCTGCCCGCTTCGCAGCCCGCCCGCCGCGCTGCCCGCTCGCCGCGTCGCCCGCCCGCCCCGCTGCCCGCTTCGCAGCCCGCCCGCCGCACTTCCCGCCTGCAGCACCGCGCTGCCCGCTTCGCAGCCCGCCCCCCGCACTGCCCGCTCGCCGCGTCGCCCGCCCGCCGCGCTTCCCGCCGAGCTACCTACCTGCAGCGCTGCGGCAGCTTCCTTTGCTCAGTCGCACTGTCGCTATGGCTTCCATCCGCGTGCTGTCGTTCGATGCTGAGGGCCGCCCTGTGAAGTTCGCCACTTGGCTGGATGACCTGCAGCTGTTCCTTCTGAGCGATAGCAAGGAGCATGTGTCGCTCTATGATTACGCGTCTGGTGCTGCACCTGCCCCTCCTGCCACAGCTGAGCTTAGTGTTCGTTCCCACTGGCAGACTCGTGACGCAGCTGCTCGCCTAGCCATTCGCAGTCACCTGCCGCTAGCTGAGCTCGAGCATTTTGGCGATTGCAAATCCGCTAAGGCCCTGTACGATGCTGTCGTTGCTCGCTACTCCTCGCCTGCCACAGCCGAGCTTAGCCGCCTCATGCTGCCGTACCTGTTCCCTGAGCTGTCCACCTTTGCTACAGTCGCCGATCTTATCACTCACCTTCGCACTAGTGATGCTCGCCTGCGTGCCGCCCTTCCCACCGAGTTCTGCGCTAAGAATCCCCCTCCACTGTACTGGACACTCCACTTCATAGTCACCCGTCTCCCTGACACCCTCAGCTCAGTTCGAGACCACTTCCTTGCTCGCTGTCCCACTGAGCTCACAGTCGCCCTCCTAGAGGAGCAGCTGCTAGCGGCCGAAAAGAGCATTGTCGCTGTCGGTGCTGCTCGTGGCGCTCCTCGCACCCCCATCTTTGAGGGGTGTTCTCCCTCTCCCCTCGCTCCCTCCTACGCTACTGCTGCTGCTGTTGACTTCCTTGGTGCTGAGTCTGCTGGCGCTGCTTCTGCTCCTGGTGGGAGGCGCCGCACCGGCAAGGGCAAGGGGGGCAAGGGTGGCGGGGGTGGCGCTGGGGGGGGAGGAGGTGGGGGAGGTGGGGGGGGAGGCGGTGCTGGAGGGAGCGGTGGCGGGAGCGCTGGTGGGAGTGGGGTCGGCGGTGGAGGCGGGGGCGGCGGAGGAAGCAGTGGCAGTAGTGGCGGCGGCGGCGGTGGCGGCGGTGGCGGTGGTGGCGGTGGTGGCGGTGGCGGTCGGAGCGGTGGTAGTGGTGGCGGCGGAGGTCGGAGTGGAGGCACTGGCTCGGGCCAGAGCTCCCAGCAGCAGCAGCGTCCCCAGACGACCCAACAGCTTCGTGAGTGGCTTGCTCAGCGTGGGACGTCGGGGGGCAGTGGCCGCTGTTCCTATGTCATTCGCACAGGTGACCGCAAGGGACAGACGTGTGGGAGGTTCCACACCCCGTACCGCTGCTTCTCCCGCCTTGACGACGCTTGGCGTGAGGAGATGGGCGAGGATGTTGAGCGCCCCCGCTGGGCTGAGCTCATGAGGGCTGGTGTTGATATCTTTGCTCTTGACTATGATGCTATTATTGCTGCCATGTATGCATTGACTGTTAGTGCCGAGGGAGACTGTTACTTGTGTGTGCCGCCTGACCCAGGTATAGAGCCCGCTGCCCTGGGTACTAGTGAGTCTGCTCTCTCTGGTATGGTGCCCCCTGTGCTTGCTCCCTCCAGTGCTGTCCCGGCTGTTTGCGAGTCTGCTCTCTCAGGTACAGCACCCACAGAGACTGCTCTCTCAGGTACCGCACCGGCTGAGGCCTGTCACACCTTCACCCTTGACTCAGGTGCTTCCCGCTGTTTCTTTCGTGACAGTACTGAGCTCACACCGCTTCCTACACCGTTCCCAGTCTCCTTGGCTGACCCCTCTGGGGGCCCAGTCCTTGCCCAGTCCACCACTGTGCTCCCTTGTCCGGCGGTTCCGTCTGGCTCGTTGTCGGGTTTCCACCTCCCCTCGTTCTCGACGAACCTGGTGAGCAACGCTGTCATCCAGGATCAGTGGGTTGACACCTTTACCCCTGGAGGACAGCGTGTGGCGATCTGCACGTGCTCCAGGACCGGCCGTCACCTGGCTACGTTTACCCGTCGGCCGGGGTCGAGTCTCTACACACTGACCACTGCGTCTCCTCAGGTTGCTGCTGTCGGTCAGGTGTCCGCGTCAGGTCTGGTGGCCCACGCCTGTGAGTGTCGTTCCCTGTCACACCAGACTCTTCTCTGGCACCACCGCCTGGGTCACCCCTCCTTGCCACGCCTCCGTGGCATGCACCGTCGCTGCCTTGTGTCTGGTCTTCCCAGGTCCCTCCCTCCCCTCCCTGCCTCGCCTGCGCCGCCTTGCCTTCCTTGCGTCGAGGGGCGGCAGCGCGCCGCTCCTCACTCCTCCTCGTTCCCCCCGACAGAGGCTCCTCTGCAGACCCTCCACCTGGACGTGTGGGGCCCAGCCCGCGTTCGTGGCCAGGGCGGTGAGCGGTACTTTTTGCTGGTCGTCGACGACTACTCGCGTTACACCACGGTCTTCCCCTTGCGCACCAAGGGTGAGGTCCCTGCTGTTCTGATCCCTTGGATCCGCACAGTTCGTCTCCAGCTCCGCCGCCGTTTCCGGACGGATCTTCCTGTCCTGCGTCTGCACTCTGACAGAGGTGGTGAGTTCTCCTCCGATCTCTTGAGGACCTTCTGTCAGGCGGAGGGCATCGAGCAGACCTTCACGCTTCCGGACTCCCCACAGCAGAATGGGGTTGCTGAGCGCCGCATTGGCCTGGTCATGGAGGTCGCTCGTACCTCCTTGGTCCACGCGGCGGCTCCCCATTTTCTGTGGCCGTTTGCTGTCTGGTACGCCGCGCATCAGCTCAACCTCTGGCCCCGTGTCTCCTTGCCGGAGACCTCGCCCACACTGCGTTGGACGGGGGAGGTTGGCGATGCGTCGCGCTTCCGGGTGTGGGGTGCTCGTGCCCTTGTCCGCGATACGTCCGTGGATAAGCTCTCCTCCCGCACGCTTCCCTGTGTCTTCCTTGGCTTTGTTCCTGACGCGCCGGGCTGGCAGTTTTACCACCCCACCTCGCGCCGGGTCTTCGCCTCTCAGGACGTCACCTTTGACGAGTCGGTCCCTTTTTACCGTCTCTTCCCCTACCGCACTGCCCCCCTCCCTCCCCCGCCGCTTTTCCTTGCTCCTGGTCCCCCTCCGGTAGACCCCCTTCCCCCTCAGGGTCCTGCTCCTTCAGGTGTCTCTCAGGTAGACCCTCCTCCCGTCGCTGAGCCTGTCGAGGTCACAGGTGACTCAGGTGCTGCTGCAGGTGGTGCTGCTGGGAGTGCTGAGCCTGGGGGTGCTGAGCCTGCGGGTGCTGGGCCTGGGAGTGCTGGGACTGCGGGTGCTGGAGCTGAGGGTACTGTGCCTGGGAGTTCGGCGCCTGGGGGTGCTGAGCCTGGGGGTGCTACGACTGGGGGTGCTGAGCCTGCGTGTACGGAGTCTGGGGGTGCCGAGCCTGGGGGTACTGCGCCTGAGGGTACTGAGCCTGGGGGTGCTGCTACTGAGCCTACGGAGCCTGGGGTTGCTGCGTCTGGGGGTGCTCTTCCTGGCGGTACTGGAGCTGCTGGAGCTGACGACGCTGGAGCTGACGGTTCTGGACACGGTGGTCCTGCTGGTTCTGGAGGTGCTGGCGAGGGGAGGTCTGACGCTGCTGGGGCCTCTGGTGCTGACGTCGCCGACTCGGGGGGTGCTGCGGCGGAGGGCACTGGTCCAGGTGCTTCTGGTGCTCCGGGTGCTGGAGGTGCTGGCGGAGCTCCGCCGTCGCGCCTGTTCTTCGCTCCTCCGTCGCCGTCGGCTTTGCCGCCGCCTGACACGGTGCTTCGCCAGGTTCTTTCCCTCCCGTCTTCCACTGGCCTTCCCCTTCAGCCTGGCTCCCCCCTCCCTGCTCCTGTGCCTTATACTGCACAGCCGGACTCGCTTACGGAGCGTCGTGAGCCTGCGTCTCGTCCTGCCTCGCCGGTTCGCGCTGCTCGCACTGGTCCCACTAGCCGTCGTGTCGCGCGTCCGCGTCCTCCTCCTGTTCCTGGCACGCACATTATGGCACTTCGTCCTTCCACTGGTCCACAGCGTGTCCCCCTACCGTCTCCTCCTGCGTCTTCTCTTCCTGACGTTCCCGACCCTGCGTCTGACAGTGTTCGTGCTGCCCACCCTACTGTCACGCGTCTTCTCGCCACTGTTGTCACTGACCCGTCGTTTGAGTCTTCTGCTGCGTCTGCCCTGGTCGCTGAGCTTGTCGACTTTGCTGCTGCCTGTCGCCTCGACTACGCCGCCAGTCTTGTTGCTGGGTCTGAGTCTGTCTGTCCTCCGTCCGTCGGGGGTGAGTGTGCTCTTGGCACGGACATCCTTGAGGACAGGCAGGAGGACTTTGACTCTCTCGCGGCTGCTGTACCTCATCTCGTGGCCTGGTTGCTTGGATGCACTAGACATCCCCACTCCGCGCACTTACGCAGAGGCGATCTCGGGTCCCTACTCCTCTCAGTGGCAGACAGCCATGGACGCAGAGATGGCATCCTGGAAGTCCACAGGCACCTACGTCGACGAGGTTCCCCCTCCTGGGGCGAACATCGTCGATGGCATGTGGATTTTCAGGGTGAAGCGGCCGCCAGGTTCTCCGCCTGTCTTCAAGGCTCGTTACATTGCTAGAGGCTTCAGTCAGCGTCAGGGGGTCGACTTCTTCCAGACCTTCTCCCCCACCCCGAAGATGACCACTCTTCGGGTTCTGCTGCACGTTGCTGCTCAGCGTGACTACGAGCTTCACTCTCTTGACTTCAGCACAGCGTTCCTGCAGGGCAGCCTGCACGAGGAGATCTGGCTGCGCCGCCCACCTGGCTTTACTGGGTCGTTTCCTCCTGGTACCCAGTGGAGCCTCCGCCGGCCAGTCTACGGTCTCCGCCAGGCGCCACGTGAGTGGCACGACACACTGAGGACTACACTTGCGGCTCTTGGGTTCGCGCCGTCTACTGCTGACCCGTCGCTGTTTCTGCGCACAGACACGTCGCTGCCGCCGTTCTACATTCTCGTGTACGTCGACGACTTGGTCTTTGCTACTGCTGACACTGAGGCACTCGCTCGTGTGAAGTCGGAGCTGCAGAAGAGACACACCTGCACTGACCTGGGTGAACTGCGTAGCTACCTTGGCTTGCAGATCACCCGGGACAGAGCTCGCCGCACCATCACCCTGACTCAGTCACACATGGTGCAGCAGGTCCTTCAGCGCTTCGGCTTCCAGTTCTCCTCACCACAGGCCACACCTCTGGCTACCAGCCACTCGCTCTCAGCTCCACCTTCGGACGAGTCCGTAGAGCCAAGTGGCCCGTACCCAGAGCTTGTAGGCTGCCTCATGTACCTGATGACTTGCACGCGACCTGACCTCGCGTACCCACTTAGCATCCTTGCTCGCTACGTTGCGCCTGGGAGACACAGGCGAGAGCACTAGGAGGCTGCTAAGAGGGTGCTGCGTTACTTGTGCAGTACATCAGGCATGGGGCTAGTGCTTGGAGGACGCGACAGAGTTGTCCTCACTGGTCACTCGGACGCTTCTTGGGTGGACGACCTGGCTACGCAGCGGTCGTCACAGGGTTACACCTTCAGCCTTGGCTCTGGTTCTGTCTCGTGGCGGTCCACCCGCTCTTCTTCTGTTCTCGGCTCTAGTTGTGAGGCTGAGATCTACGCCACAGCCATGGCTGCACAGGAGTTACGCTGGCTCACCTACCTGCTGACTGACTTGGGAGAGCGGCCTAGTTCTCCTCCAGTTCTGTACGGTGACAACAAGGCGGCTCTTGCCTTGTGTCAGGAGCACAGACTAGAGCACAGGACGAAGCACATTGCTCTTCGCTACTTTCTTGCTCGAGAGCTTCAGCAGCGCGGTCAGCTTCGGCTTGTGTACGTGGACTCGAAGGCCAACACTGCTGATATCTTCACCAAGGCGCTCCCGCCTAGTGATCATCAGCGGCACTGTACTTCTTTAGGCCTTGTGTCCACGTTTCCTCACTTGCTCACTGCTTGACATTCTTTGTATTGTACTTTATATTTGTCTTGCTGCTTGTCCTGTTCTATATCTAGCACTACATGTGAACTGGCCTTGTGGCCTTTGTTTGTGCTCGGAGTGTGGTGACGTTGTGATCCACCCTGGGCTTGTTTTTGCTTTGCTGGACTGGTCTTGTGACCCTTTGCTCTCCCCCACTTTGCCTATGGGGGTGTGTTAAGTTGTAATGTGTTATTTATATGTAGGTAGGCTGTAGTGGGGTAGCCAATACAGGGTACAAACCCAACTAGGGTTAGCTACTTGTACCCAACTGTTTCTTTCAATCCAACCATTCTTGCCTAGTTCTATTAACACTGCTGGCTGGCAGTGAGGGAGTGTCACCTAGCCTCCTGGATGGAGGTGCTGGTGGTGAGAAGTGGTGGTGAAGGTGTTGGTTGGTGGTGTGCGGTGAGGAGTGGTGGTGGTTGGAGCAGTGGTGGTGGTAT